TCTACTGCTGCCGGCTGGCAAGCTTTAGAGAGCTTCAGCCACCCTGTGGCTGGTGTACGGGTATGTAGTACCCGACGGACCCCTACTCCCTGACAAGTCGCAACGAAGGCTATCATCTCATTGAAATGCACATTGTCGTCAAGGTCGGTCCACGGTCTATCTGCCGCTGCCTCATCAAATCACGAGGTCTTGACTGCTTGCCCGCCGGCTGAGAGCGTTCTCAGTGTCTTGTCTCGTGTCTTCCACCTCACCATGCCCAACGCACCGTCCAGCCGCGTGTCCGCTTGAAGACGACTTTCGCAATGCCGCCGTCCTTCCGTCTGCTGTTCTTCCTCCTCGTCGGGGCCCTGTTGGCCTCGTGCGCCACCGCAGCCTGTGAGCCCAGCCCAGTCCAGTCCAGTCCAGCCCGTCTCTCCTGCTACAGAGTCCAGTCCCCCAAGCTGACAAACCCTTCTTTTCCTCCCCACTTCACGCAGCTGCTCCGACGTTCTGCAAGTGCACCTGCTTCAAGAACAGCACCCTGATCCAGCTGGGACCCGTGCGGGACGACCCCTCCACCGGCTCCTCCTCTTCCTCCTCCTCCTCCTCCTTCTCCTCCGGCTCCTCAGGCCTCAAGAAGAACTCGCAACAGCACCTACGCCTGGCCGCTGGGCGCGGCCCCGACCTCGACCCCGACCTCGACCAACATCAACCCACCCCCCGCCTCGCCGGCCGCGCCGCCTCGGCCTCGTGCTCGCAGTGCACGCGCGCCTTCTGCCTGTCGCTCAACCTGCCCATCTGCCAGGGCGCCGACGACGACGACGACTACGGCAACGGCAACCCCGACGGCAGCACCGGGACCGGGACCGGCAGCAGCGGTAGTAGCGGCGGGTCCAAGACCGGCACCGGGAAGCCCGTGGCGGCCATCGACGTGGTCGCCACCTGCTTCCAGCGCGACAGCCGCAAGGACCAGATCATCGTGTGGGGCTTCCTGCTCGGCACGGGCTTCCTGCTCGGCTGGGCCGCGGTCCGACGAGTCGTCGAGGGGCGCGACGAGGGGCGCAGGAGGAAGCAGAGGGCCACCGCGGCCGCTGCGGGGGCGGGGGCGGGGGCGGCTCGGGATGGCGCCGGCGGTGGTCGTGGCTATGTCCCGGTAGTTGGCCGCGAGTGAGTCTGGCTGGTGAAGGGGAAGAAGAAAAGCAAGTGAAAGACAAAGACAATAAGGAAAGAAAAAGAAGAAAAGAGACAGGGAAGACAAACAAGTTTGGGTCGCACTCAGGAAGCGTTGGCTCGCGCGAGTGCTTGCATTAGAAAACCCAACCCTCATCTTGCATGGCGTTTGGGGGGAAGTACGGGACTATTGGGGTGCATCGTGCCTTGGCTTTTGTTTGGATCACCACACTGGAGCCCCGTCATTATCTCACTTAAAGCAATCGGAATCCATGGCAGGTCCTGCGAGCCATCGCGCTTTTATTCCGTGGCCATCTCTTAATAGACTCCAGTATGGTTGGGGGATCGCACCTATGCAGCGATATCATGCCTTACTTAGTCTGTCCACACCAATTTTGTTTTCTTCGCCTCTCGTTCCTACAAAGCGATTTCCCGTGCAGTACTTTTTGGTGATATCCCGTTGAAATGCAACGCTCCCCATTCATCGCGTCTAGATTACTGGTCGTTCTCGTTTCCCACTTCCAATCCGGCGACCGACGCGGTTGCGGCGCGCGATTCGGCATATCTGAGCCCCCGAGTCAGGCAAGCAGTACACTACTCTACTCCCTCAGTCTTCCTCGATAGGGGTGGCCCTGTGGTCGGCGCCGTTGCCGTTGGGGACGCCGTTCTTCTCGCGCCGGGCTCTGATGGCGGCCGCCAGGCCCTCGAGGACCTCCACCGTGCTGTCCCAGTCGATGCAGGCGTCGGTGATGCTCACGCCCTTCTTGAGGCCCGAGGGCCCCTCCGAGGGGACCTTCTGGCTGCCCTCGTTGATGTTGGACTCGATCATGACGCCGACGATGGCCTTCTCGCCCTCCCGCAGCTGGTCGCCGACGACCTTGGCCACCTTGGGCTGGTTGCGATGGTCCTTGTTCGAGTTTCCTAGCGCCTCGTCAGCGGGACAGTGCCAAATACCCACCGGATTTTCCCTCCCGGGACTGGCTTACCGTGGGAGCAGTCAATCATGATGGCCATCTTCTGGCCCTTCTTGATCAGTGTGTCCTTGGCCTCCTGGACGCTAGCCTTGTCGTAGTTGGTGCCCTTGGAACCACCGCGGAGAATGACGAACCCGTGCTCGTTGCCCTTCGTTCTCGTGATCGCAGCCAGACCCTGCTTGGTGACACCCATGAAGTGGTGCTTGGAGGCGGCGGCGCCGATGGCGTCGATGGCGACGCCCAGGTTGCCGTCGGTGCCGTTCTTGAAGCCGATGGGGAAAGACAGGCCCGAGGCAAGCTCCCGGTGCAGCTGCGACTCGGTGGTGCGCGCGCCGATGGCGCCCACCGAGATGAAGTCGGCGAGGAACTGGGGCGAGATGGTGTCGAGCATCTCGCTCGCGATGGGCATGCCCGTGTTTGTGAGATCACTGAACATCTGGCGCGACAGGCGGAGCCCCTTGTTGATCTTGAAGCTGTTGTCGATGTCCGGGTCGTTGATCAGCCCCTTCCAGCCGACGGTAGTGCGCGGCTTCTCGAGGTAGGCGCGCATGATGATGCACAAGTCGTCCGACAGCCTGTCCGACAGCTGCTTCAGACGACCGGCGTACTCCTGCGCCGTGGCCGGATCGTGGATGGAGCACGGGCCGACGATGACCAGGAGCCGGTCGTCCCGGCCCATGATGACGGCGACGGCATCGCGCCGGCCCTGGACGACGGCCTGCATGGAGGCATCGGTCATGGGGATCTCGGAGACCAGAAGCGCGGGCGGGATCAGAGGATCCTGCCCCAGGACTGTGGTGTCGGTGTATATCAGCATTCTGTAGGTGACGGCGGGTGCGCAAGGCCATGCGTCGAGGGCAAGTCTCGGAGCAGACGAGAGACACGGGGGATGAGCAGAGCGCAAGGGACGAATGGATGGATGGCGAAACGAAGGGGTATGTTACAGACATGTAGAATATGTGGGAGCAGCAACACAACCACAACACTGAGCGGATGTCACCTACCTCTCATGTCATCCACGACCGTCGACATGTCGACACCCGGCATAGTGGCGTTTTTTCCTGCTGGGCGACGGGGAGCCTGAGGGAGGCTGCAGAGCCATGATCATTAGTTTCTTCTGGCGGGAGTGTCTTGTTTGCCAGCTCGGTCGCTTGCCGACGGAGGCAGGCCAGGGTGCCAAAGACGAACCTGACGGCGAAAAGATGAGTACGAGAGTGCGTAGGCAACAGCGGCAGCAAAGTAGCGAAGTAGCTGGCTGTATGTGTACGCGGTTGGCTGATGAGATGCTCAATCGTCCCAACTGTTTCCTCCTATCTCAAGTACTCAAAGTGCCTCTGTGAGTCGGTCAGTCAGCCAGTCTCATGGACAAAGTGTAAGAGGCGGACGGAAGACGGACTGATGGCCAATCGGTGCTGTGGTGTTCTCTACAGAGCTGATGGTGCCATGGCTGAAGAGCGGAGTGGATGGTAGATATGCTTACCTCTAGGCTTCTTCTCACTTACACAGGTATTTCCTTCACGTACGAGAGTAGTAACACAGTCACTGATTTATCACATCCGATGTTGAAGTGTGAATCACCCAAGAGCGAAGTCGTCACTGGTCGAGGAAGAAAACGGACTAGCGTGTGCCGAGCGAAAAACGGCCCTTCGCGAGCCACAGGCCCCCATTGGTGCATATAGATGCAAGATGTATGCAACATGCGAAGGCGAAGATACGGTATGGACGACTCGGCCACCAGACTCGGAGTCGCCATTCTCCATTTCTTGAGCCCCAAGTGACCTCATTCTCGAGCAGGGCCAGCAGAGCCTGACATTTCCTCTGCTGCTTTGAACCCTCGCCACCCCACAGCTTCTCATTGGCGGCGGTCTTCGGCATGTTGCCCCTTTCTGTCACTTTCTCTTCGGCCACCCTGCGATGGCTCGTCTATCCGGAAGGGAAGCAGCAGACCCGGCCCGTCAATCTTACATTGGCCGATTTGTGTCACCATCGATCACATCGCCATCGAGCCATCCTGTCGTGTCCTGTCGTGTCCGGGACCTGCTGCTCATCCCAAGGTCTGCTCCCAGTCGTCAGCCTCCTGGCATGGAACAAACCTCGTACTCCCGCCACAAGCACTCGTCCTTGGCCCGTTGAGGAGGGCACTTCTGTTTGCTGCAGATCCCTACCCAACGCCTCGCTGCAGTCTAAATACGAAGAAGTATCTGACGAGTTGTCCACCCACGTGGCACTAGAAACTTGGTTCCATGCAGTAGAATACTCTAGCGCCACGTGCCTCACTCATACAGTCCCGAATGCAGTTGGTGACGCGGCTAAATATGCACATGGCTAGGTAGGAACGGAGGCGGGCAGTCCGCCGGATGGTATTAGATGTCCAAGAGCATGGACGGAGAACTCTGTCTGACTTTCCTACCTCTACACACGGGATCATCAAGCCTGCGACTCTGGAGGCTGACTCCATCGACAATCTCACAGCTCGCAAGCGCAATCCCGTGGCAACCAAGCATCTTCAGATCCTTGCTTCTGGACAGCAGCTCAAGCTTGTCTCTACGATCAGCATCAGTCTGCACGATCCTCGCTGGGGAGTCACCTTGGGGCAGCCAGAAATACCTACCGTAATAAGTGTACGGGTGCATAGCGGCAGTGATGCTAATTATACTGTGAGTTGAAAGTAAAAACGTCCCTGCTGCAGGGGTCGTGGAGATCGGATTCACGTTTTTGAATTTCCCCCACTGTAGCACCAGCAGCGCGGCATCGGCAGTGGGGCGGCATAACAGCAACGGTAGAAGCAGCAATATGAACGTCGCAGCGCCAGCATCTCAACGGGTGGAAAATAAGCAAAAGGGATATCAAATGCAAAAAATGAAGAATGATGTATTCCTCCCTGGGGGGGGGTCGAACCCCCAACCTTGGGATTTTCCGCTTTGTAGTAAAAGTCCCACGCTCTAGCCAATTGAGCTACCAGGGATGGATGTTCAATCGGCGGCTTATCAATGCTCATATTACTACGTGCGGAGTGCGTAGGGGAAAAAACTAGAGAATCGCGTTGGTGGGGGGTTTGTTCGGAGCACAGTCACGTCTGTATTTTGCTGTGAACTGTTACTAGTAGATCCATGGGAATTGTGGGTCGATTTGGCTTCGTTAAAGCAACTGTTGTGGTCATTGACTCACTGGCGCCTCCCCTTTTTCAGGAGGCCACAGAGAACCCCCCACCCCCTTTTTAAAAAATGGTCACCCCTAAACAACCCGACGAGTCTCTGAAAAGAACTTACTCACACAAAGCAGGGCCACAATGTAGTCTGCCAAACCACAGTCGTAGGTGTCATGTGCACGAAGGAAGGAAAGAAAGATTTGTCTGTTGAGTCAAGCGTCTTTTGCTTCGGATGCGTGCGAAGGGTACCGGTATTGCCAAGAGCCTGTGATGGGACGCGGATAGCATACAATGGCCATGCGGTTTCCTGAACCTCATCTGACATTTCCGGAAGATACCCCAGCATATGGAGAAGGCCATGTCAGGATTTTGGTGGTGGGTGATGGTAGCCCCGACGGTTGAAAATATCCCGTCCATCGCAGGCGGGGAGGTGGTACGACTTTTCACGAAGACAGGCGTTCTTCAGCTAGAGAAGGAGGAGGACCAAAGCGACGGGGATGAAAGGAAAGAGGAAGACGTGGGAGAGTGGAAAGGGGAAAGACCACCATAGGAGACCCTCTCCAACGGCTCATGAAGTACGATACTGTTCTATTTGACGAAAACCATCCTGATACTTCCACACCCTGCTCGTCACTGGTCACGAAGGTCGCCATCTCCAACCAATAGGTCTCTTTCCAGACCAAGGATAAGCTTGCTACGGCAGCTGCACGCGAAACGAGAACACGAAGAGGCCCTTCACTACCTAGTGAGGTCGAAAGTAGGTAGATTACAGAGGCGTCTATATCGAGAAGCAAAGTATCAGGCAAGAGAACAGATGCTCAAGGCCAGTACCTAGGTAGATATTAAGTTCCTTCCTCCGCCGCCGCCCGCAGTGGGCGAGTAAGGTATGCACCCGTAGCCCTGTCTATCCCGAACCGCCCACCCCCCCCAAAACCTCTTTTCCCCTCTCTCTTCCACCGCCCAGATCCCGGAGCTCAGAGCACCGCTGCAGCACCTGCCAGCAGCCAGAAGAAGCCCGCCGCCATCAGCAGCCCCAGGAGCTGAGCGCCGCCGCCTTCCGAGCGGCGGCCGCCCGCTCCGCTGACGACCACCGCCGCCGTGCTGGTGGAGGCCGCGGCAGTGGAGGCTGTCGTGTACGTCGCCGGCACCGACGAGGTAGTACCCGCCATGGCACTCGTGGCGGCGGTGACAGTGGCGGTGGCGGTGGCGGGTGTGGGCGACATGTTCATGGTGAAGGTTATGCTCACGACGCTGGTGGCGTTGGTGGGGAAGGGACCTATGGTGGCAGCTGGTTTTGTGCACACGTCAGGTAGCTGATCCTGGGGAAAGATGGAACGGGGGGGCGGGACGGAGGGGGGGAAGGGAAGGAAAGGGACGTGACAAGCGGGCATCATGTCCTGGCCCGGCTCAGCGTGTGTAAGTAGTGCAACTCACCTGCCCACGAGCTGCTGCAGGACTCGCTGCCGTTCGCGGCCGCCGCCGAGGACGTGAAGCCTACACCCCCGACGGCGCTCGACGCAGTGGCGTAGCTGCTCGTTGAGACGGAGAAATACACGGGGACACTGCTCGTCGTGGCGGCGGAGACAACGGAGACGGTCGACGCGGCGGGCGGGACGTGGGCCGTAACGGTGACATGCCGCGTGCTGGTCCGGGTGGCGGTGGTGAAGCCGGACACGGTCAGCGTCCGCGACAGGGTCCGCGAAGAAGGAGCAGCCAGAGTCGAGGCGGAGGCGGTGGCGGGCCAGCTGCACTCGGACAGCTGCACCGTCACGGTCTGGGTCTGGGTCTCGGTGACGGTCTCGCACGTGGAGACCGAGGTGTCCGGCGTCGGCAGGGTGGCGGCGGAGGGCGACTCGCTCCCGCGGTACCCATACCCGCCCGGGAAGGCGGCCATGGCGGAGGCCAAGGCGGCGCCGAGGGCAAACAGAGCTCTGCAGGAGGGCATGGTAACTGAACGAGTGACTTTAGTTCGAACGAGTGACAGTGGCAGAGAGTGACTGCCTGAGTGAGTCGGAGAACCGGGTAAGAGGGGAAAAAGATGTGCTGGCCCTTGGGTCAGGGGAAAGGCAAGGGACGCTTTATACACAGACAGTGACAGCGAGCAAACGGCGTGAAACTGGTGTACCACCTGGCAATATCGGATGGTGATGAGTTGTCAAGCTGGTCATCACCCACGTGAGTGCCCAGAGGCTTGGTGGGCAGCGTGTCGTCTCCGTCCGCGAGCCTAGTCAGGATGACACTGGCAACGGCTCTGCTCATTCCGGAGGGTGATACCGAGCGTTTGGATGGAACACGTTTGCCGTAGAAGAGACAAAGCTCCCGTTGCACAGAACGGCATCTCGGAGATTATGAGGTATGACTTCGGCCAGTACTGAAACACTCCATGTCATTTCTGCCTCGCGAAGCGGGATCGAGGGCTGATTGTATTTGGGCAAGCTGGCTGTAGCGGAGCAATCAGGCTCGCCTTGAGGTGAGGCCCAAAGTACAGACGTGGCAGACGGCGTCGTCCCTGTCTACCTACAAGGTAGAAACCCAGCCTACCTAAGTATATAAAAGGCCGCGTCTGGCTCTCCGCACTTGACTTGGACACAGATCTTCTGGCACCTGGCGCTCGTTACAGGCCGTTCAGGAGTCTCTCGGGACAAGAGACGAGGAGTCACAGCCACGACCGGCGCACCAAGTCGACAGATGCCACCTATGGAATAGGGATCAGATCGAAATCCGCAGCTGCCAAAAGATGTAGACCGGAATCGTACCAAGAAATATCTAAGAATTATCCAGGGCTTCGATCCTAGCAATCTGGTAAATTGTGCCGTCAGAAGCCAGAAGGCAGTGAGTATCAGCAGTTCCTAGCTGGAAACAGTACTCGTTGACACGATGTCTTTCTGCCGTCAACCAAGGTACCTCGCATCAAGCGACGGAAATGACATATCTCGTCATTATCGAGTCATTGTCGAATAACATCATGACACACCATGATTGCGAGAAAGCAAGGCCGGCCGATTCCACAGAGATGCTCGTTCGGAGACCGAGGTCGGGGGGGTGTCGGCCGACTTGAACGGTTGAACCTGGTCGTCCCCCTAACTCCTGACCTGATAATCGGTTCTACTGGACAGTGGACGGTAAGGAAGCAGCTGAAATCGAGACTCTCCTCGTGAGCGGCGCATACACAGCCAGTTGGCAAGACTCAGGTAACTACGAACTACGATCCGTATGTCAGACGAAAGCGAGAACGAGAAAGTTGCACGTGGCTGAGTATCGAATATGAATCCAGCCAGAAAGACATGTAGAAGGTCGAAAAGGAAAGTCTGCAGCACAGCAGCTGAAGAAGAAGCTGACAGCTGGGGGAGGGGCGAGCCGGGGCGGGTCTGTAAGTGGGACGATGAAAGTAGCGGCTACTGGTGATGATCGTGGGATCCTGCAACGGCAGTCTGTACCTTCTACCTGGGGAGTCCCAGAGCACCGGGACTTACCATATTAAGTAAGCAGCTATGAAGGCATCTACCGATACGGGCCGGGGCCGGGATAGAACTTCCACCCATACCTAGCTGGAGGTAGCTCCTCCTTATCCTCTCCTGATCCTCACTTTCAATAAGGCAGCGAGCTTGGTATATAAATCAACGTTACACCTCCCACTAAAAGACGATTGAATTCATCGCTACCAGATCTATTGTGTAATTCATCAACTCATTGACTGAAAGCGCTCTCACCAACGTCTGAATTAACACCTTGATTCACCACCGTTGCCCCTAACATACCGGTAGGGTACCGGTGCGGAAGAAGACTGACCCTCCGCACGTGCCGGGTACGGGCTTACAACGCCTCTCCAGGTCTCCGCTGGTACCCCGGGCTTGCGGCCGGGCATGTGACGGCCGGAAAACCCCGATTACCTACCAACCATGTCCACGTCGGCAGCAGCAGGGGGACTGGAGCAGCTGTTCGGCTCGGGCGGCCCGCTGCCCAGCGGCGCCGAGGCGCGCACCGACGCCCTGCGCGCCCGCGCCGACGTCGCCCGCCGCGCCTGGGCCCTGGACCCTCAGGGCTCGCCGCAGATCGAGGCCATGGCCGCGGGCGCCGCCGACGCCGCGCGCGACGAGTCGTGGCGCCGGCCCGTGGGCGAGTCGGGCCTGCTGGAGTTCTTCTGCGGCGTCGTCGGCTCCGACGGCCTGCGGCCCTCGCTCGTCACCCACGCCCTGCGCGTCATCGGCAACGCGTGCGCCGACCTCGGTACGTGACCTACCTGCTTACCTCCTGCTCTTCTGCTGCTGGGACTTCCGGCCGGTGCTGACTCGGTTGGATCCGGCTCCAGACGAGAACAGAGAGCGGGTGGTGGCTTCGGGCTGCCTGCCCCATGTGGTGAGCCTGCTCAACCAGGACGCCGCCACGGGCCTGCTGGCCTTTGCCATCCCGGTGCTCTTCAACGTCTGTGTCGACTATGGTAAGAAGCGCTGCCATGGCAGTGTTGCCCGTCTGCCCAACCCCCTGAGATGACCTCGCCAACACGTGGCACTAGAGCCCGCGCAAAAGGCCGTGTACCTGGCCGGCATCAACCCCGAGCTCGTCAGTCTCGTCGCAGGCCCCCGACTGGACGAGGCTGCGGCATTCATGAACTACATATGTAGACTACTGGGCTTCGTGTCCACCGAAGGTGGGTTTGTCTCTTCTTGCGCGCACCGCCGTCAGTCAGTCGGCGCTGACCCAGGCCTCCCTCGCGCATTGCAGAACCCCAGGCCAACCTGGTCCATCCCGCCACGCCCTTCGTCCTGCTGAGCCTGGCGACCCGGCCCGACACGGCGGACGTCGACGTCGAGGACTTC